TGAAGAGTGGTGGTCGTGGCGCAGCGCATGTTTATATTTTATGTAAATAAACAGTCCATTTTACATGCCTGGGGTACGTCGTTACGTCGCCATATCGATGAAGACGCGGCGCGACGACCACCGCCCTTCAATCCATAGCTGAAGTGGGCATGTGAAAAGAGCCAATGCTCGCAAACGAAGTCATGCAATATATAAAGCCGCAAATCAACATTATTAGTAACAAAGCGTACTTACCAGTCATTAACAGACAATTACAACGGTTACCACTAGTAATAGTCAATATAACATATTACAGTTACCAATGACGGTAATGAAACATACAACTGTAATTAATAGTAATAACGAATACAATATATAAAATGACCAGTAACGGGCGATGCAAGATATAACAATTACTAGTAAAGGCCAATTTAACATATTACAGTTACTAGTAAAGATAATAGAACATACTGTAATTAAAAGTAAAAGCCAATACAATATTAGTATGACAAATAACGAGCAATACAAGATATGAAAATTATAGTAATGGCCAATGTAGCATATTACAGTTACCAATGACGGTGTACATACTCTAATTATTAGTAATTGCCAATACAATATATAAAATGACTAGTAACGGGCAATGCAAGATATAACAATTACTAGTAATAGCCAATATAACACAGTACAGTTATTAGTAAAGGTAATAGAACATACTGTAATTAAATGTAAAAGCCAATACAATATCAGAATGACTAGTAACGGGCAATGTGAGCTAAAACATTTACTAGTTATTGTCAACGTAACATATTACAGTTATTAGTGAAGGTAATAGAACATACTGTAATTAAAAGTAAAAGCCAATACAATAGTCGAATGACTAGTAACGCGCACTGCAAGCTATAGCAGTTACTAGTAATTTCCAACGTAACATATTACAGTTATTAGTAACGGTAATTGCAACACATGACGACAATACAATATGTTACAATTATTAGACAATACACCTATTTCAATTACTAGTAACGGTCAATTTAACTTATTGCAATTACTACTAACAATGCAACATATTACAATTGTTACAGTAACTGGTAATGCAACATATAACATTTACTAGTAATATCTAGTATTTTTCAACAACCACTTACTATCAGTGAGTTCACCTTATATAAGTGGTATTTATTAGTTTTATAAATAATACCAATTGCATGTTTGTTTTTTCAAACAGATAGTCTACGTTGCAAGAAATCCCAAAGACACGTGTGTTTCCTTCTCCCATTTCTACCGAAGTACGGCACACCATGGATTTTATAAAGGTCCTTGGGCACAATTTTTACGGATGTTTATAAATGGGCAAGGTGAACTATTTTAAACAGCTACGGTTATATTCATATGCAGACTGTAAACTGCTACAGCTGTATTCATATGCAGACTGTAAACTGCTACAGCTGTATTCATATGCAGACTGTAAACTGCTACAGCTGTATTCATATGCAGACTGTAAACTGCTGCAGCTGTATTCATATGCAGACTGTAAACTGCTACAGCTGTATTCATATGCAGACTGTAAACTGCTGCAGCTGTATTCATATGCAGAATGTAAACTGCTACAGTTGTATTCATATGCTGATTGTAAACTGCTACAGTTGTATTCATATGCAGACTGTAAACTGCTGCAGCTGTATTCATATGCCGACTGTAAACTGTTTTTGTCAAATTATATTATTTCATGGTAATACATTACGTATTATCATATTTTCAGTTGCATTTGGTGATTATTTCGATCTCGTGATTGGATGGTGGAATGAACAAGACAGAAATAACGTGTTGTCCTTATTCTATGAAGACATGAAAAGAGTGAGTCGTATTTTGTTATTATGACATCCATTTTGAATTATGGCGGCCATTTTGGATTCATCAAACGAGCAAATTACAAACATGTTATCATGCTCTGTCAAAACATTTAGCATTACTACAACAATAGTGATTCTGAAATAATGTCAGTTTGATACATATTAACATGGAGTGTTTTTCTTTAGTTTGTATCATTTTAGGGGTTTCGTTCTTATGCCGGCCAATACAATGCAACAAAAGCGTTTTTCATTTTCTGTTTGTGGATGCCTTTTACAGGGGAATCTCAATCTGAAGGCAACGCATGCAACTTTACGTCAGTTATAATATGTACTACATAGATACTGTCCTATTGTTCATTCACAATGTTTGACCAATTATATTAGGGACCGTTGATTATCAAAACTGACACACCAAAAACAAACAAAAAATGAAAGTGCAAAATTTTGAAAAGTTTCGATTTTTGCATGTATAATATTTTACGTTCACTCTTGTTCGTTTCTAGTTCCACCAGTGTTTGAGTGACACACGCAATATGAAATAATCTCGTATTCCCTCTCTCCCAAATCGAACAATTACGTTTCCCGTGCGCCAGATAAAAGCCCTTAATACCAGCGTGCGCATGGAAATGCTAGATTGTGATATCGTCCACTGAATGAATGTAGCTAAACGGAATCTGATTACAATAATAATTATAAAAATATGTGCTGATTTTACTGTCCTTTATGATTAACACTATTAACATTTCACCATATTTGATTGCACTCAGGATCTTCATGATGCAGTGCGTAAGATGGCTGCCTTTGTTGATAGGCCGATTTCTGAAGAATTAGTAGATGCTATAGTACGCCATACGTCAGTTAAAAATATGCAAACTAACAGTGCAACTAATGCGGATGTTAACAGGGCGTTTTTGGACTCTAAAATAAGTCCATTTATTAGAAAAGGTAAATAAAACTGATTTACTCATTCACCTCATTGATGAGGTCGAAGGAAATGAGCATATACATTTGTTGTTGCATTCTGGGTATGTTTTCTAATCGAATATTGCAATAGTGTCAATATATCTTCCATCATTTTTTGTCATGATTCATTTATTCCAGGAGTCGTTGGTGATTGGGAGAATTACTTCACTGTTGCTCAAAATGACGAGTTTGATAGAATATACGAAAGAAGGATGAAAGACACAGATATGAAGTTTGAATGGTGATGACGCTTGGTGTCTACGTGTGTGTCACATTTAATATGTGACCTTACATAGTGATGGGATTGACCTCCGAATGCTGCTGACATTCAACCTTTCATTCATGAGTTTACTCTTTATATCGTGAAAGGCCTGATATTCACCAATTTGTGACTGTGATCTGTATATTCAAAATTTTCAACACTCATGCATACATGCTTTTAATTTTGATTTTTGTTTAGGTTTTTATGACGGGCTTTGCTTTCAATCGTTTATTTTATATTTCACGAGATTTGCTCAGATATGTCCTATTCGTGCTGGTTACAGTTATTAATTTCGATATAATACATAGAGAGTTACGTGTTAGGGTTACCTGTTTCAGTTTACTCCTATACAGCACTTTCCATCTGCTTCGCCAACGAACAACACAACACAGCACAGCACAGCACGTCCACCACACGATCCGCCCACATCGGCCCACACAGCACGTCCATCATAGTAAGCATTTTCCCGCCAAAATCTAACAATGTTCGTTCTGTTGCACCCCGAGGGAAGGGAGTTTGATGATTTCATGTCATGGCCATTTTGGTCAGCCACAGGAAAGCTATGCTGTAAAGGTGCACCCTTGATAGAATTGTAATAATCTGTAGTTGGTTTTAATTACAAATGTTTAACCCTCTGAATGCCAAAGTCAATATCAGGTACCATTCACAATATAGTTCCATTTATATTTTACGAAAAATAATTTGAACATGCCATATTTTATCAAAAGCTAGAAGTAATCAAATTTAACGATTTAGATAAACAATTTTACCCAAATTTGAATGAACAAATTAGCGTTCAAAAGGTTAGCGAAATAAATTTTACACATATAATTTAAACAATGCCTAACAAACTAATTATAATTTGATTTTACATGATATCACATTAATATATTTATGACTAATGGTGCGTTACACTATAAATATATGACAAAGCGTTCAACGATGAAATGCGCCCTCACCCAGACAACACCTCACCCACCACCACCCGACTCGACCACCACTGGATAATTCATCGTGTATGGTTGCATCACTCGCACTGATATTCACATGAGTGACAATGTCAATCATTCATTACACGTTGATACACATGGAATAATGCTGACGTGTCTATTAATTCACTGTTCAGGCAAACGTACACCTGATATTAAATAATTGTATGACATAGTATGGGGTTATTACGAAAACTTCGCGTGTAACATAACTTTAGAACGAGTTTTATTAAACGCCGGAAACTATCTTGTTTTTTACATCAAAAATATGTTGAATCCTGATGCCAAACTACCGATGGTTCAGCAACATCGTATATATTCCTAAATACCTACCTACCGGGATTTAAAAATAACAGAAACTTTATAAAAATTATCAATAGATTCTTCATAAATATGAAAGAGGACAATATTGCAAAACATTTAAATTAATACTTCGTATCCAAAGGACACACACTAACAGAGAAAAGTTAATAGAGGACCACATCTTTCCAATATTTTCGAAGAGTTATTAGGGAAATACAGTAAGCGGTGAAGGCGGGATATTATAACTTTTAACATTATCGAATAATATTATCTATATTATAATATCGATAATAGAGTCTGATAATAAATCTAACGGTTGTTTTCTGTTACATCTAATATATTAAATTCAAAAAGACAATATTAGTATAGCCATGACTCAAGTCTTTCAGAATAGCTATTCTCAGATAATATCGTATAAAATTCGATAATAAATCTAATAAACACTCCCATTACAGTGTTCCATTAATTCCCAGTTTTAAATAATATCCGATAGTGAATGTAATGACAAAGTCGTGCCCTCGCCAATACATAATTGTTTGCTTCACTATTGACCACAACTTTGAATATATGAACCCCCTCAAGGTCAGGTCACTGAGGCATTGTAAGAGCAACAACAATAGCAGTACAGTTGCCGTCACGTTTACTCGAAAAATGGCCGATCCTGGTGACGCTCCTTATAAAATACCCGGTCAGTTCGTCTACGAAGGAGTCTTGTACGGCGACTATGTCCGTAAAGAGATACTAGAAAACCCAGCCAGCGTCGACGTAAGAAAAGATGACGTGTTTGTGGTGACGTACCCTAAAACAGGCAAGTGATTACAGTGTGTCACACACATTCACGAGTAAGCGGTAACTTTATATTCCATTTTACCAATGTCATACATTTCAACAACGTACATTATTATGTTACTATGATTTATAATACATGATTGGATAGTCGTCTGTATTCACGTGCAGTGTAATATCGCGGCATGAGTAAGCACTTTGCTCAGTCTATTGTGATAACATAACTTGGGAATAAACTCTCAACTTC